GTACATTAGTACACATTTTATGGTTTATATTAGAGATGCGCCGATCCGATACTGGGTATCGGTACTGGGCCGATACTGGACGAAATTACGGTATCGGATGATTTACTTCACAGTGGTAACTGGCCGATCCAATACCGCCACACACACACAATCCTGCCTTCCGACACATCCACGGGTTCGTCTGCTCATTGGCTACAAGTTTACAGCTTCAGAGAGTGTCTGCAACCCCACTGGTCGAATCTACAAGGGTGGAACTTGTCCGTACCGGGTTGACTGTCTGAGACATTCCATTGGCCCTTCAGGCTGTCACTCACCTCCAAAGCCCTCCTATTGGCCAAACTAGGTGTCAATCAAAAGCTGAGACGTCCGTCTAGCTGCCTGTAACGCTTTCAGCGCGATGTGAAATAGAGTCAGCCTGATTTTGCCAGAAGAAATGAATACAGCAGACGGAGCTGATCTCAAGCTGGGAAGACATTACTGCAGAATTTGTGCCTTTGAGGATCTAATACGTTTTACGGACCGAATTATTTTAAGGGATTATGTTCACTGGTTCTGTCCGGACAGAATGAGACCAAGCTGGTGAGGAATGAGCGATGTTTGAGCTGCAGAGAGCCTTCAAAAGTAAGAAAACTCGGATTTTAACATTTTGCTTTTCTGTACAAAAAGCTCTTTGTGTCAACGCTGTGGTTGCTGCAGGTCGAAGAGGTTTATATCATCGGAAAGAGGAGACTCTGAGCTTTCATTCGATGTGTATATTGTCGGGAAACGTGACTGTGGAGCATGCGCACATCTGGCTGTAATGTGTTTGGAAAGTGGTCACGTGCCGCCGGCGGGACGTGGGAGCGGCAAGGGGTTAAAAATACTCTTCTTAAATATTTTTTTTTTAAAATTGGAAGTATATTTTGAGTGAAATCACCCTTTAAAACTACGTCAGCACCCAAACTAGAAGCCGTGCACTTGTAGGGCCGTAGAAGACGAGTACAACCCTCTACGTGCAGCCCTGTACGTGGGTCTCCGGCTCTGCAGACAGAGCCTTCCTATTGGATCCCATCCCGCAGCAGTTCACAACGTTTCCGGCCTCATTTACTACTGCTCATGCGCAGAGCCGAGAGCGGCTATTAGTGGTACTATTATTTAATACCAAGTTTTGGTAATTTAACCTTTAAATTGCAGCTTAATGTTGCTATGTCATTTTGATCTGTTCTAAATATCTGAATGGCACTGAGTGCACACTGTAG